TGTGTGTGTGTGTGTGTGTGTGTGTGTGTGTGTGTGTGTGTGTGTGTGTGTGTGTGTGTGTGTGTGTGTGTGTGTGTGTGTGTGCGTGTGAGTGTCATCGGGGCGGGAGGGGAGCCAAAGACATCATGAGGGAACAAGCTACGAGGCTCGCCATGCACACCCACAACAACACGCCCATGGCTGCTGCCAACACCTAGTCTGATGCACCGGGACGGGCCTGATTGGCGACGCACCTGCGCCTGCTCCAGCGGCGTGCGGCCCAGCAAGTCGGCGGCTGATTGCGACTTGGCTGCCAACGCGGTGGCGCAGGCCGCCAGGCCGGTGACAATGCCTTCGCTGGTCTGAGCTGACGTGCTGGCTCCTTGAGCTGGCTTCCCCAGAGGGTCCCCGGTCGCCGCGGAGATCAGAAGCACGGCTCTGCCAAGTGCATCGTCCCCAACCGTAAGCGCCATTATCAACGCAAAAATGAACGCGCGCCTTTGATGGCCAGATCGCGGTCGCAGGCAGCGGCGGCTCGCGGTACCGCCTTCAAGCTAGCTTCTTAGCTGTTCTAAACCAACCGATTCAGATTGCGCGAGAGAACCGGTTCAGGTGAGGATCGCGAATGAGGTCTATCCACCCTGCAGTGTGTCACCGGCGGCGTCACCTGCACAATGCACCACAACACGGAGCTGGCGTTCTCTTCAGCTCGCACCTCAGAGGGCGTGTACTATTGCTGAGCGCCACGAAAGGGTCAAAAGGGATTCATGATGGTGCTGGAGCAGCACCAGCAGTGATGTGAATGACTCTACAAGTGTTGTGAAACACGCACCCCGCTCACACGCACCCCGCTTGGCAATCCGTCAAAGCAGTCTCATACAAACCCTTGTAAGTGCTGCTATGGACATTTTACGCTGCATTTACTCCTCACAATTGTGCAATGTCTGCTGGGAGAACCACGATGGGCACTGGTTGTGTTGCACCGACAGCGTGCCACCGTGCGGGGTGGGGCTGCGCTAGGCCCAGGTGCGCAGACGCGTTGCGCTGCAGGCCATGCCTTGCGCGCCTGTACAACGTGCCCCCCTCAACCCTGCCTGTCAAGACGCGCCATAAGCTGTCGAAGCGCACAAGCACGCGGCGGTGGTGCACGTTGTGGGATGGGCACAACAGGCACATTGCACCGCAGCCAGCGAGGGGCCCTCTCAGCACAGCCCGTGTTTGCACGTCGCATCATGCGTTTGTTAAGCACATGGCTCTTTGTACCATCCCTGCAGGTGCGTAGAGGTCATGGTGTATCGACTGCCGTCCCGCACACATTGCCCGGCCAAGGCGCGCGTCCCTGGGCCAATGCTTCGAGCTGCCGCCCCTCCACCCCACCCCTGCGCGCATGCCGCGGTGCCCACACGATCACCGCAGCCCAAGCGGTCAGGGCCGGGGGCAGCAGCATTGCCAGGTTGTCAAAAGGCACATGGGGCTTAAGACGGGGTAGCACAACATGCATGGCCATGGCGTGCATGTCCTTGCAGGTGGAGCCTCTCAAAGTACTGCAGCTGAATCGCCAGCTTCACCAGCGATCCTTCAAAACAGGTCAAGTGCACTCATCCGCATGCCGATCTTGCCGCGCCTCTGCACCAAGTATTGCAAGGGTCTGGATCTCCGGTGGCTTGAGCACGGGCGGATGCCACCAGCAAACGTTGCCCATCCCAAGGCGATATCGGTGTTGCCGCTGCTGCTGCCCTTGCCATTCCCTTCTGTAGTGCCTGATCAATGCAACTGAACGCGCTTGGGCTTTAAACGAGGCCGCTGCACCTCCAAACTATCTCCAAGATGGCATGATGAGGATCCGAGAAGCTGCGCGCCACTATCAGCTGGCTGCCCTGAAATGCATGCGCGCCACCGGCAGGACACGCTTGTTGGAACCGTGTCTGTGTGTCTGGGTTTGTGTAGAACCCAAGAATCCTCAAGATGACGACCAAGCTGTGAGTGTGCCGTTGGGCGCGGCCGTGCCAGATCAAGCATCACGCACGCCAGCCCCCTGATCCACCTCCTCTCCTCCTGCGCGCAGCTATGTCGGCAACCTGGCGTGGGGAACTACCCAGGTGATTCTCGCGGGGCTGTTGTGCGCTGTGCTCGCGGTGTGGCCGGCTGAGGCAACAAGGGAGCAGTTCGCGAGTGCTTCGGAGCACACATAGTTGCATGTTTCTGGTTTCTACACCATCACAAGGGTGCTGCCGCGCGAGAGCCTAGATCACGCCCGCCGAAAGCCGCACCACCGACACACCCTGTGCAAGGGCCCCTTCCGGCCTGCGCGAGCAGGTTTGTCAAAGCTCCATGCTATTACGAGTATCACGAGAGCGCCACCAGTCGCACGGCTGGCCCGCTCGTGCAGTGCATGAGAAAATTTCCTCTGCATGCCACATCATCCCATTCCCCTTGCGGCGCTTGCCTGCAGGATGACCTGACCCAGCTCTTCTCCAAGTATGGCAACGTGACCGACACGTTCATCGCCACCGGTGGGTGCACGTCGTACGCGTAGATTGCGGGCGCGATGATGTTGTTGCGGCTGAGGGGTCAATCTGATCTGGCACGTCGAAGGAGTTCGTGGCGGCCTGCTCACACACTTGATGGAGGGGTAGCCTCACTGGTATCAAAAACAGCGTTGCCGTCAGCTGCTGCGCTTCGCATCTGACCCATGCATGCAAGCCGCTTGTTGGCAAACTCCCCTTCGACCTCGGTTGCTGCTGCTCACCAACACTGCAGAGCGTGAGACCGGCCGCTCCCGCGGGTTCGGCTTTGTGACCATGGGCTCTGATGAGGCCGTTGCGGCCACCAACGGCCTCAACAACACCGACTTCATGTGAGGGCGAGGTGCCGCTGCGGGCGGCCATAGAACAGCGAGCGCTCTTCCTGCCGTATGACGCATGCTGTGTGGGAACATGAAAGTGAAGGCTGCTGCTCTTAGCGGCCCAGCAGGCATTGTTGCTCAGCCGTGCTTACCAGTCACTTATCAGGCACTTGTATGAATCTTTCTCTGCTTGGCTGAGTGTCAACCCCCATGTGTCGGTGTCGCTGGTGCGTCCGCGCAGGGGCCGCACGATCCGCGTCAACGAGGCGCAGCCCCCGGGCAGCGGTGGTGGCGGCGGCTTCGGTGGCCCCAGGGGCGGGGGCCGCGGCGGCTACGGTGGTGGCGGTGGCAACTGTGAGTTTTTCTAGACCAGCGTGCAGTGGTGAATGTATCAAGGTGGCAAATTTGTTTTGTCGCATATCACACATGCCCCAGGCCACAGCTGACCATCGTCGCCACTGATCGCTTGTGACCTTGCAGACGGTGGTGGCGGCTACGGTGGTGGTGGCGGTGAGTGCAAATTGGGTGCTGGGCGCTGACTGCGTTGTTACCTGTTTCCAGGCCGTTCCTGTTGCACACCTGGCTTGCGCGCACAGCAATGCACATATAACCTCACAATTCCACCCTTCCAATAATGCCAGGCTACGGTGGTGGCGGCTACGGCGGCCAGGGCGGTGGCGGTGAGCTCTAGCACCTGTTGGCCTGCAGTGCGCCGCCCATCACCTGCACATCCCCTGTGTGGTGGCACGCCGCACTCTTTCGGCCGCACGTGCAAGGGTGACTGCTGCTTGACTGTTGACAATTATACAGCAACCAACCGTGCGCTCACTCTACTTTCCATCCCCCCCCCTTGGTTGTGCAGGCTACGGTGGTCAGCAGGGCGGCTACGGCGGCCAGCAGGGTGGCTATGGCGGCCAGCAGGGCGGCTACGGCGGCGGTGGCCGTGGCTGTGAGTGTCTGTCCCAATCTCTCCACCCCCTGAGCTTGACGTCCAATCTGGCGCAACGCAGCGATTGCAAATCGTGCGCAGCGCGCCACAGTCGTATCATGTGATTGTTGCTCCTGCTAATGTCACTGCCTTGTGCCTTGTCCCCCTCTCAATCCCCCATCACAGACAACGATGGCGGCTACGGCGGCGGCGGCTACTGATTGCCTGAAGGAGCTGTGTGCTGTGCTCCACCCGAGGACAGTGGCACCTGTCAAAGTGTGACAGGCCGTGCTCGAGCCGGGCGGTGCGCGAGGGTCATCGCATCGCAGCACATATCCTGGGGCAGGGCTGCAAAGAGTGCCCCACTTGCACCCCTACCCTTATTCGACATTGGCGGTTGCTTCACTTGAGGCGTGGGCGGTGCATCTGCATATTCTGCATGCATTCACACGCGAGCTTGGGTCTGCTGTAGGCAGCAGGAAGAAAACCAGCGTGGCTGTGTCTGCGGCTCCCAGGCGGCGGCACTGGCACGCGCACGCGGCTCGAACAGAGAGGAACGGATGTGGCTCCCCCAGAAAGGCTGTTGTTTTCTGACGCCTTATCCCCCTTGCCCCCTGCTCCTGAACGGATGGTGTTCCGGGCTCTTGCTGTGTCGTGCCGGTGGTGAGCTTTCCGGTGGGTGTGTGAGTGTGTGTGGCGTGTCCAGGCGTCAGGTTTCTCGTCGTCCCCCTGCCCGGCTGAGTGAGAGCAAACGGATGGTGACCCGGTTGGGCCTGTGTGCCCCGGGCGGAGGGATGGGCTGGTGTAAGCAACGCGTCACACTGAAAGGAGCAAGTGCGCTGCTGGGATGTGGGTACCCTGGACAAGTGCTGGCAGGATGCTTGCTTGTCTAGCTCTCCGCGGCGGTCACAGCCACAACTACTTACCTGCGGGACGGGGGCCCATCTATGCAGCCTTTATTGGCTTGCCTGGGGTACTTCGAGTTGAGAGCTTGCTGTGCGGATGTGGGGGGCACATGCACACATGTGGGGTGCGGCAGCAGAAAAGGAGCAGCAGGCACAGCTCGATGGTTGTGCCGCGAGCACAACGGACCCCACCTTGCGGTCACATACGCTTATCATAATCATTTCTTTAGCATCACTTTGACTTGCACTTCATACAGCACTCGCCGGACTTTGTTCCGCCAAGCAGATACATCGGCAGGCGACGTGGCACGGCTGCCGGTCCTTTTAGAATGCATGCTTAGATAATTCATAGAAATATGGTCCCTTATAGGGCGGTGATGAGCTGAAGCACACACTGAAGCAAGACCCGCCCATGGTGGCAAAGCGTGTGAGCCCGTTCTGCCAGCTAGCGGTCCAGGCGACATCGGAACTACTACCACTAGAGCCTCAGGTCAGCAACCACGCGGCGGTATCCTTGTGTATGAAGGTCACCATGGCCTGTGCCGCGTCCTAGCCCCGTAGACCCTTTCAAAGCGGCACGAGCGCCTGTCATTATGCAGGATCTGCAATATGCGACCACTCTGGCCGAGCTGGTGTACACGCGCTTGCCCGAGGGCAGGCATGGCGAGGAGGTGGACGCGCTGGCGGCCAGCCTGGGCATGGAGCGGCCCCTGGCAGACGTGACACTGCACTCCAACGCCGGGCAGAGGTGAGGGCAGGGTAGTGCAGAAAAACATACCCAGGTTTTGGTTGATCAAGTCAGCGGCCATCAGCACGCGCGCGTGCATGCCTCAAGCACAGCAGCTGTGCTGTCAAAGTGCTGCTCCGGCGCAACTGATGCAGCAGTCCAGCCAGCAGCCGCCAACGCCCATCCCTCAAGAGGCCACGTCTACACTCGGCACCAGGTATGCCGTGGGCCACACGCCCAACACCATGTATGTGGCCTTCATGGGAACCAAGTCTTCCGCCGACTGGGGGGCCAACCTGAGGTGGCGGCACGCGGCCCTGTGGGACGACAAGGTGCGGGCGGACAGGGGACAGCAGCCATCGCCTGTTGCTCGAAAACGGCCCCACAGCTGTGATGCGCCACGCGACGGCCATGCCACGCCGCGTCACAGTGTTGGCGGGCGGCTGCATGGCGGCCCGGCGACCGCAGGGACGGCGACTGCCGCGTGCGCTTCGGTGCCCCAATCAACCAGCTGGCGCCGCGCCAGATGCCCGCCCGCCCCGCCCTGACCCCCGCCC